CATGCAAAATGCCAGGCTAGATGAAGCACAAGCTGGAATCAAGACTGCTGGGATAAATATCAATAACCTCAGATATGCAGATGACACCATCCTTATGGCAGAAAGCAAAGAGGAACTGAAGAACCTCTTGATAAAAGTGAAACAGGAGAGTGAAAAAAGCTGGCTTGAAACTCAATATTCAGAAAACCAAGATCATGGCATCCAGTCCCATGGCTTCATGGCAAATTGTGGAAACAGTGACAGACTTTATTTTCTTGGGCTCCAAAATCACTGCAGATGGTGACTGCAGCCATGAAATTAAAAGATGCTTGCTCCTTGGAAGAAAAGCTATGACCAACCTAGACAGCATATTAAAAAGCAGAGACACTACTTTGCTTACAAAGGTCTGTCTAGACAAAGCTGTGGTTTTTCCAATGGTCATGTATGGATGTGAGAGTTGGACCATAAAGAAAGCTGAGCGCAGAAGAACTGATGCTTTTGACTGTGGTGTTGGAGAAGACCCTTGAGAGTCTCTTGGACTGCAAGGAGATGCAACCAGTTTATCCTAAAGGAAACCAGTCCTGAATATTCATTGGAATGACTGATGCTGAAACTGAAGCTCCAATATGTTGGCCACCTGATGGGAAGAACTGACTCTTTGAAAAATAGCCTGATGCTGGGAAAGATTGAAGGCAGGAGGACAAGGGGACAACAAAGGATGAAATGGCTGGATGGCATCACTGACTCCATGGACATGAGTTTGAGTAAGCTTCGGGAGTTGGTGATGGACAGGGAAGACTGGCGTGCTTCAGTCCATGAGGTTGCAGAGTTGGACACAACTGAGTCTCTGACCTCAGGTATAAATAGTCTCAGAATGTCTCCCCAGTTAGTAGAAGTAATGGATTTACTTAACTATCCACCAATTTGAAAAAGCATCAGTCAAATCTTGGGGATAATGTGATGTTGTAACTACTCTAAACTGACACAGATAAGTGATTGCAAAATGGCACACCTAAACATCTGAATAATAAGTTTTAGATTCAGCCAATGGAGATTTTATCTATGTTAAGGTGTTAGGTTCAGTTACTGCGTTTATAAAGACAGTTATACTAAATGGTAATGTAATATTCAAAGTCAGCCAATCTTTAGTTTAAAAGTAGGTATAACTCATAATAGAGACTGTTCCTCCTTCAAATTCCTACTTATAAGCAAAGATATGTAAGTTACTACAAGGTGGTATCTGGAATATGTGCCAAGAAAACCTCTTCCTCAAGCTAACACTTGAAGAACAAATCTTATTAGGATTACAGCTTATTTTTACTGTATACATTTGCAATTGTACACATTAAATCCCAGGACAGACATTTCTCCATTTTCTCAAATGTGAGTTTGCTATACATCTGGCAGTTACTTTGCACCTATGCTTCATGGGCAAAGGTTATACAACATTTCTTAGTTTTAATGGTCAATTTATTCAGATCATTTTACTGATATGGACTTATTCAGTGAAGGTAAGTACAAACCATATAACATTATGAAGGAAACAATAAAATTTATGTACTTGGATATTACTTTGAAATCAAAGGTCCATCTAGTCAAAGCTATAGTTTTTCCAGTAGTCGTGTATGGATTTGACAGTTGGACCATAAAGAAAGCAGACTGCTGAAGAATTGATGTTTTTGAACTGTGGTGTTGGAGAAGACTCTTGAGAGTCCCTTGGACTGCAAGGAGATCAAACCAGTCAATCCGAAAGGAAATCAGTCCTGAATATTCATTGGAAGAACTGATGCTGAAGCTGAAACTCCCAATACTTTAGCCACCTGATGTGAAAAAGTGACTCATTTGAAAAGACCCTGATGCTGGGAAAGAAGGCAGAACGAGAAGGGGATGACAGAGGATGAGATGGTTGGATGGCATCACCAACTGGATGGACATGAGTTTGAGTATGCCCTGGGTATTGGTGATGGACAGGGAAGCCTGGCGTGCTGCAGTCCACGGGGTCAAAAAGAGTTAGACACAACTGAGCAATGGAACTGAACTGAACTGAATCTGGATATAAAGGAGAATTGTACCACTCTAAACGAAAAATGGCTTCCCTGGTGGCTCAGATGGTAAAGTGAAAAAAAATTACACAGAAATGTTATAGATGAAAGAAGTCACCAGTATGTGTGATGTAAGAATCGATCAGATTCGTACTTGACTCACCAACTTGGCTAATTTTAAGCATCTGACACATTTCAGTGTGGTATCTTAGTAATTACAAAATTGTCAAAATTAATAATTGCCATACATCTTATAAGCTTCCCTGGGGGTTCAGATGGGAAAGAATCTGCCTGTGTCGGGAAGATCCCTTGGAGAAGGGAATGGCAACCTACTCCAGTATTCTTGCCTGGAGAATCCCATGGACAGAACAGCCTGGCGGGCTATAGTCCATGGGGTCACAAAGAGTCAGACACAACTGAGCGACTAACATTCACTCATACATCTTATAAAATATATGGATGACCTTATATATCCAAATTAACACACTGTATCACAATTTTCAAGATTTTAATGTACTTAAAAAAAATCACTCAAAACTATTTCAGAATGCAGGGCCAGTCATGAGGCCTATTTTATGTAAAGAGAGACCGTTGGTGAATTTTTGAGTCACAGAATGTTAAATGGCACGGACATCAGAGACAGTGAAAGATTTTATTCTCTTTTACTTTCATCCAAACACACCCTTTTGTGAAAAAGATAAAAGCATGCACATTGACTGCAGTCTTTTAAAGAAAAAACAAGTAACTTAGCTGTAAGTCAACAATAATATAAACAAAACCTTAAATGATATTATGTGAAAAGATTTACTGGTATATGGAGTTCTTAATTTCAGAAAATAATAATTCAAGTCATATCAATACATGTTAAAAAGAAGCTTCTAATTTTTGAAATATTTTGATACAAAAAAATTTTGAACATTTTATAGACCTTTTGTGAGAAAAATATAACGATAGTTATAAGAAACATGCTGTTCAAGTATCTTGTGCAGTTCACTTGGCCTTCTTCAAATCAGTTACAGTCAACATAATTCCAGTGGTATTGCTTCTTAAAATTTAAATTTAGAGCATATTTATGACATTCAAAATAAGTTACAAAATTTACATTTATTGTGATCTAATTAGAAATAGTTCTAACTTTAGGACTGTTAAAGAGTATTTTAACAAAGACATGGCACTGACATAATTTCACTTTAAAGGATAACAGAAAACTGCAGTGTGGCATAAGAACAAAACTTTTACCTGCACCTTCATTTATAATGAGGCGGATGGTATCCTGTGGGACTGTGTGTACACACACACATTACACACTAATGTGTGTATATACATACACATACTAAACTATGCACAAATCAGTTCATACTACCCAACTTTTCAGAGCGGTTTCTTGAAATAACTTACTCTGATTCTGGAAAAACAGACAAAATTTATCTTAATTATTATTTCTATTTTATCATGATTTAAGAGGTGTATTTCATCTGGGGCACTGATACAATTTTGCAGGAAAAATCCATTACCCAGAAGCAAAAATGGGTATCTTAAGGGACTAATAGGCAATCAAGCTTGAATTGTAACATAAAAGTAGAGCAGATCACACTTTAAAAGGTCCTCTTCTTGAGGGTTTATTGTTCCAGGACTGAAAATTGTGTGACTGATTCCTGAAAGATCACTCTTCTTTTCAGGTGACTCAGATGAATTACGCGGCCCCATTAACACTAATGGGAACTAAACAAATTCACTCTGTCCTGATGGATTAAGTCTGTATTCAAGAAGTCGCCTTCTTGACGTAAAACAACACAAAATGCCTTTGCTGTGGACAGTGAGCTGGCTCACAAGAGCTTAAACGGTTGAAGCCTGCCTCAGGACTCAGCACTTCCGGGTGAGGCCTGCATCAGGACACAGCACTTCCGGGTGAGGCCCCGCGTCCGCTGTGGACAGCACCTCTGCTGATGATCTGGAGAAAAGGAACTCAAGTACAACAGAAACTGACCATGATGACATAAAAACAAGATTTTTGGATTAGACATTTTGCTGAACCCAAGGGTAACAGGCAAAAGGCACATGCTAGTAAGTCTAGTCAGGTGTCTGAGAGCTCCCACCATCTTAAATATCTGTGGACTCAGGTCTAACAAAGGTTCACACTGATTATTTCAAACATAAAAAATAACAGGAAATCTTAAGGTTTTCAAGTACTTATGGCACAAATGTCATGAAGTTCTAGGAGCTTAGCCTAAATCTTCAAAAAGCTCAGCAATTTAAAGTTCCACTACAATGAATCAGGATCACAATTTTAACTTAATTCTTTTTTTTTAATTATTCTTCTGTATAGAGCACAGGGTGTGCAAATGAAGCTGTTTCAGTAAATATCAGAAATACTACTTTGCAAATATCAAGTGAAATCAGCTAATAACACAATACAATAATAGCCGGTGCTAACACAGAGCTTCTCCCACCAACATTCCCTGGCCCTTTCCTTGTGCCCTTCTTGATTCTTAACTACAATTTCTTTCATTGACTTGGAGAAATTAAACAAAAGGCAAAATATTTCACAGTTGCAAGACACTAAGTACTTTAGTGATAAGAATTGGCCCAGTCAAGTCGTAAAAAAAAAAAACGAATACAGTAAAATATATTGCAAATTAATGTTCATGAATGCAGCTATTTGAATTACAACACAACAACAAATTATACAATCCTAACAATCTTCTGCAGTTGACATTATTTCATAGGAAATGCCAAGAATAATATAAACTGTTTACCTTTTCCCTTTCCAACAGCTTCTGGACTAAAGTTGCAAAACCATGTATGTTTGCCCAAGACCAGCTGAATATTGGCTTTAGTCAGAAATTCTATTTTATCCAATGTTCAATCAACAAGGCTTTATTTACACTTCTTATTAAATTCAGGAGCAATCAGATGTAATGTGCAGCCACCAACAATAAACAGCGTAGCACATCCCACCGCCTGGAGACAGCTACTCGTTTATGCTTTAATACTAACCCACAAGCAGCCAATCAAGGTTCCATAAATCCAGGTTTTCACATACAGTTTCCTTCCAGCCTCAGTCATAAGCAAACCAGCAGTCAAACCACTTAAGATCAAGAATGATGGTAAGGTCTTCTTGAGACTTAGCTTAGAATTAACACTTTCTCCAGGAAATTTGTTTCTTCTTTCTGGGTCCGGTGAATCATAGAATTCTATAAGCAATCTACAGCCAGAATGAAAATGAAAACTGCTTTAACTTTCAGATTTAGTCATTTCAATATTTTAATTCAACAAATATTCAATGGGTGCCTGTTAGAGAAGTTACAGGTCCTTATAAGAAAATACCCAAAGAGTTGCTTTAATTGGAGTTTGTAGACATTAAAAAAAATCATTTTAATGGTGCATCCTATAACTCACAGATCCACTTTTTTCAAGAAGAGGGAAAACTATCAATATTTAAAACACGGCATTCAAAAAACAGAAAAAATATCCACTGACAGCAAAACAAACAGTGAATAAGTAATATATCCTGAAGTTTTCATCCAAGAAAATTCAATGTCTAAATATCATCTCTAAACCTAAGAGCTCAGTTTTTATTTTCCTAAAAACAAAATTCTAAAATTTCTACTTTTAGGAATTTGTGTAAATCACAGGGAGTCTCACTCACTATCCCCCTCCCCCAGAGGCCCCCACCTGGTACTTAGAGTAATGCTCAGCACTCAGCAGGAGAGACACCGGGTCAATCCCAGAAACTGTTCAGGCACCAAAACATTAACAGCAAAAAGACACTTTAGTCACAAAAATGTCAACTGCCCCTTCTTTTTCCAACAAATGCACTGGGGTCAGTTCCACATACATGTGAGGCACCATCCTCCACCCATGGCCGGATTCTCCAGCCCTCAGGCCAGACACCCTCCCCCAGGCCTGGAGCATCACAATGCAAGACTTTCTGTGTGTTTCTTTTTGTAAAAAAACTTTACATCTTACACAAATTATTGAAATGTGGTAAATAATGATGGACAGCCCCCCATAACAAGATCTTTCACAGTGACTTGTAACTGTCAAGGTTAAAACATCAACAGATGGAAGCATGGAATGAGATTTGAGTTTCTAAAAAGCATTCTTATGATAATAATTTGCTTCACATTGTTTACTATAGTGCCAAGTTGAGCCAATGTACTTGAAGGGCGAGAACTGTCATTACTCACTTATCTTTTATTTCAAAACGCTCATGAAGCCATCTTTTCATGGATACTTGTTCTTCTGGGATATTTTTTTTGTCTATACGATCGATGTGAATATGAATTTTTGGACATTCTTTGCAGAGAAATTCTAACAAGAAACAAAAATATTTCATTTTTATTAGTTTAGAATTCAGTTATATAAAATACCAACGAAAATGAGGTTTAAAAAAGTTTTAAAACAAAGTTCAGAGTCTTTAGCAAAGACCAAAAAAAAAAAAAAAAGAAAAGAAAGGTTACAAACTGGTGGTCTGGGGTTTCAGGCTGAAGCAGTATAATTTCCAAGTCTCCCATAGTTACCTAGGTCATGAGTTAATCAACCAGATGGCACTTCTCATATACCAACTGTAACAAACTGTACAGGCAGCCCAGTCAGGAGGTTAGCCTCTACCAGAAGTATGCTCCCACCCTCTAAAGGGATCCCCATATGCCAACCACCCTCAGGCCCGCCGGTCGCCTTCATGGGGCCACCGGTCTCTGTTCCCAAGCCAGGTGCTTGTCACATGTCACTGGGACAGGATGGATGTGCCTGGGAAAGCACTGGGCACACAGAGCCACCCCACCCCTCAGACCCCAGCACTGAGCTGTGGCTCGTGCCACGACTCCGCAGGCCTCCACCCACCCCCCAGCTCCGTGAGCTGCCAGTGATTTCTACTCACTGATACGCCTTGCTTTCCTGATCCTTGCCACATTTTAACATATTCTAGTTGCTCTGGGAACCCAATTTCTTTTTGTGGAATAGCTCTGGGCCTTTCAACAGCTAGTTCCTAAAAAATGCTAACCTAAAAATTAGCAGACAGTCCTTTTTTCAGCCCAGGTTGCACAAGGGATGAGGTCAGGATTTATTCCAAGATAAGAAAGAACTTTGAGCCCGGAAATTTCCTTTTTTGGATGTGACTTTCTGTGAAGACATGACAATGCTAACATATTTAAATTCCTGGAGAAGAAGGAAATATTGCTAAGAGATTTAAGAGACTACTATGTTCCCTGGGTGGGCATGCAAGTAGGGGAACAAGACTGTTTATCTCAAGTGGAAATGTGCTCGCAGGTGTGTTCAGGAAACAGTGGCTGGTGTGTTGTGCAGCTGAAGGAAGACAGGAAGCTGATCCTTCAAGGCTCCACCTCTGAACCCCGCACACAGCTCTTCTTGTGAATTCTCTCTGCAACTGCTTTCCTCCACTTCTGGTGTCAAGCCTCAGTAACACATTTCAGTCATCAAAAATTATCTTACTGTTTATATACTCCTAGGAGTGAACTAGCTTTGATTATAAATGTGCAAAACACTGCCATAGGAAGATTGTACTTTTACAATATTTTCCTCATTCTTTTCCTCAAGTTCCGTTTTCTTTAAACCAAAGACCAGCGTAGGAAGTGCTTTCAGGAGCAGAACTGTGCATGGGTGAAGAGCACAGTGAGTCAGGCAGCCTGGGCTCTGACCCCTCACCTGCCCGGGCAGATCTCAGCGTGCAGCCTCTCTGCACACCTTTCCACGTGCATCCAGCCACAAGACGTGACGGTAGCAGACCCGGCCTGGGAGGCTGTCGTGAGGGTGGAGGGGCAGGACAGGACCCAGCACACACACTGGAGTGTCAGTGATTGGAATTTGCTGGCTGCACGTGGCTCTTCACTTCACCCTATTTCTATTTCTGATACGTAAAAATGCAGGAGCTGACACCAACTTTCCTGCCTTCACTTAATCATCTACACCTACACCTGCCCCTAACATTTCCTGCCCCTTAATTAAATGGGTGTCCGGTTGACACTGCATTTATCCTAGATGTCCCGAGTCCCGGGGCACAGACATACAGAATCTGCAAGGACACGAAACCAGCTGCACTTCTGGGGTCAGAAATGACTGTGTGTGAACTCGAGTGTTTGGAACATGCCACCCATCCTTAAAGACGCCAGTGTGAGAAAGGACCCTGAAGGTCCCCTGGGTGCTTTTGGGTTTTTCTCACCTAGAAGGTATATGTGAAAGTCGCTCAGTTGTGTCCGACTCTTTGTGACCCCGTGGACCATAGCCCACCAGGCTCCTCTGTCCACGGAGTCTCTAGGCAAGTATTTTGGAGTGGGTTGCCATTCCCTTCTCCAGGGGATCTTCCTAATTCAGGGATTGAACCAAGGTCTCCCATGTGGCAGGCAGATTCTTTACCGTCTGAGCCACTAGGAAAACCTAAGAATGTACATAGTGCTTTGGTATTTACAACACACATTTGTGCACATCACTTCACTTGACCTTCGTGCACTTCTGCAGGCAAGGACCATCATTCCTTCGCGGGGGTGAAGGGACCAAGCCCCAGTGTCATCAGCAGTGGAGTCAAGCCAAGTCCCTGTGGTCAGGAATCCAGATACAGACCATACAAGCTCAGCTCAGCGCCAGCGACACCCAGGAGGTGCTCCCACCAGACAAGGAATGAGTGACGGAAATACTTCCCTCGGTATTTCATAAGCTCCTATATCTACTTTGGTAAAAACTATTTTAGTTGGGGCACATTTCACAGGGCATGAGCAAAAATTATCCCATAATATTTAGGGAATGTAGGGAAAATTGTTCTAATTAAGGTGTGATTTTTTTCTGACTACAGCTTTCCCAGCAGGTCCCTAGAGTATATTGATATTCCAGGGCTGTACAGGAAGTCTTCCAAGGCTCTAGACATGTCACAAGGCCTTGTCTCCGGAGGAACCGGGTCGCGGGGCTCTGTGCCTGTGGAGCCGGGCGAGAGGGGCCGAGAGGAACCCAGGGGCCCAGGGCTGAGCGGGGAGCCGGGGCTGGGCCCGAGCCTGCCTCCCACTCTGCTACCTGCCTGGCTCATCACCCGCCCCCATCCCTCTGGGTGAAAACAAGAGAAGAACAATGTGACCTAAACCCAGCAGAAAACTGAGTAGTAAATGGTTATATGTGCACACCAATGAACACTACATAGCCATTTAAAAAAATCATGTTAAGTGTACATAATGACATGTAAAGATGTTCATGACACACTCTTAAGCCAAAAAAAAAAAAAACCACACACACATAAATACATACAGGCAGATATATACGCCAACATACAGACATTACACAAGACTGAGAAAAATATCTGAAGTGTTATCTGGTGTTTTATCTGGACAGGTGAGTTTGTAGTTTTTTTCCTTCTTCTGAGTTACCTGTAATTTTCCCCTTCAAGTATGTCTCATTTTCATATAAGAAAATATTAAGAGAAAAAACTTACCTGAGAATTATATAAAATACTTAAGTAGAGTATCAATTGTTGTCCTTTAGCTCACAATTTCTTCCAGTATAACACTCATTTTAGAAACAGGAGTTATAAATCAATTACACTCAAATGGCCCTGTCTCACCTCTGCCCAATGCACTCTGTCCACAAGAGCACTTGGACACTGTTGGAAAGACCAGGCGAAGCACAGGACACCCTGATGGGCCCTGAGCGTACCCACCTTACGATGACACGGACGGTGAAACAGGAAGGACATGGCTCCCTGCCTCCCGCCTCCGGCTCTGCTGGGAGGCCCCAGCTGCCAGATGCGGGTCATCCCCGCAGGCTCACCCCCGCAGGGTCACCGGTACACAGCCCCGCCCCGGCTCAGGACAGCCTGTGAGCGGCCAGGCTGAGGCACGCCAGGGAACTTGGACAGAAGTACAATTCCCCTGCAGGGCTGGGAGCAACACTGGCCTACGGCACATCAATGAACGATCTGGCAACTTTGTGGAAAAAAATTGCTGCACTCCTATTGACAAAGCGCAAAAGTCCCTGGGATACTCTACTCACCCACAGGCATGGTATCTAACCTGTTATTTGGGGTTTCTGCCAGTTTGACAGCAAAAAATGGTTTTTAGATTTTTCTTATTATGAACAATTTTTTTCTGTGAACTCACTGTTCTTACCCTTTACTCATTTTTCTATTGAGTGACCGGATCATATCAGTTTATAGGCACACTTTGTACATTAAGGAAATTAGTCTTTTTTCCTGCAGTCCCCTTGTCTTCAGTCTTACAGTTTTACTCTGGTGTGTTTTTGCTTGAAGAAATATTTATTCTTAATTGACTGAACTAATTTTTTTGTACGTGACTTCTGAGTGTAAGAGAAAAGCCAACCTTTTCAAAAGTAGAGGCCCTGTGTCCAGACGACCCAAAGCCAGCTCAGGTGCTGAACAAGTGGAGCGGTGGGAGGAAGGGCCGGGCCTGGGAAACCCAGGCCTAAGACGTGTGCCCCCAGAGGCACTTCTGGGCTAACTGTGAGGAGACGGACTCACCAACACCAAGCACTACCTTCCATACACGCTGTGCCCTGGGAGCACAAAAGCCCTGTGAGCTATGAGGGGCGCCTTTGTCAGGGACAAGGTCACAGGCTTGGATGAGGGCGACGGCAGGAAGGTGGCCCGGCCTACACTCAGCCCCCAGTCTCAGAAGCCACCATAGGCGGTGCGGGAGGGTCTCCATGACGGGCAGGAAGCCAGCAGCCCCAAGGGCCCCAAGTAGGAGGCGACGGTGTGAAGGAGCTCGGGCTGGACACTGCGTCCCCACACAGCAGCGCCCTGGGGACCCTGGGGACGCTGCCCGGCCCATGGGTTCTTACCGTGGGACCTCGACTCAATAAAAGCAGCCTTCTAAAAAAGTTATTATGGGAATTACATCTGGTATCCATAAACAAAAAAATATATTCAGTCTTGTTTTCTAAATAATGCTTGATAAACTCATGGCAATACTGTTGGATAACTACATGTATGTCCGTCTTCAAATGTAAAACTCGGTCAGGGACTCTTTCAATGGTTCAAAAAGAGTAAAAAGTATTATATGTGGCCTTTTGTTTGTAAATTAAATTTGTACCTACAATACACAAGTGATGAAGACATGTGGTTCCCGGGGTGGAGGGGACCAGGAGGACGGGGTCTGGTAGACAAGCCCGCACACTTTCGCAGCAGCTCCCACTTCGCTCTGTGGTCAGGGAGTCACGAGAGCAGTCAGTGCTCCGCAGACGAGGCCCCTCCGGGTACCCCTCCTCCACCGCTGGCCGCTTCCCACCGTTCAGCCACAATCTGCTCACCCCCGTTCTTTCCCCTCCTTCCTCTGGGAGTCACTCTCCCTTCCGAACATCCGCCTTCAAGACATCCTGCTGAGATGAGCTAGACAAGCAAGCCGGTTCCACGTCCAGCAGCTGCCAAGGGGAAATACAAGGCCGCTACCTTGAAGAGGGGACGAGAAACTCCACACGCTTCCTGCTGCCCAGACCCACATCCAGAGGTCTCCAACAGTCAAGAGTGCGTTTATATTGAACTAAAGCATGCTGCCCACTTAAATCCTGGCCCAAAGGTCCTTAATACTGAGCCCATGGTTGAAAAAAGAAAAAGTCATGCGTGACGGTCCTTCTTCTTGTCTGTGATAATAGAGTTCACAAATGTTACATGAAAAACACACATAAAGAGAACACTGACCATGAGGGCACAACTCAGTGTTGCTATTAGCATTTTCCCTGGTCACTCCTTCCTCTGCTTTATGCAGCTTTTCCATTTCTATGTGTGAACCTTGGGCAGAAAGAGGCCAAGTTAACGATACTGGGCAAATCCAAAGGACTAATGGGACAGCCGAGCAGAGCTAAAGAAATTACTGCCGTTAGAGATTAATAAAAAATACACCAAATGTACATATTTTGAAAATATATCAATGTAACATAATAAAACACACTTACCCTTTTTAAAAAATATATCCCACATTCATAAACATATATGACTTACTTGAAAACAAACTTACCAGCCATGGATGGCGCTTCCTTCCGCTGCCCTTTATCATCCACAGACCCTTCAAAAGCCACTGTAACATCATAAACTGCATCCAAATAATCCTTCATAGAATCAAAAGCAACGTGAGTTGCCTTTATTCTTGGTGTCAGCACATGTTTTAATACTGGAAGGCCTAGAAGAGAAGTGGAGTCAGCATGGCCATATATTAGTTACAAAACACCCTGGTAACAGACTGTAACTTCTAAACTGTTTTTATAGGAAAGTTTAGACAGCACTCAATTTAAACCAACATTCATTTAATACACTTACCACATACCCACATGTACAAGACCATGCAGGAAGCTGTTGGAAAACCTGCCTTTAAGAAGCTTATAGCCTCTCAGAAACCCTCCAATTTGGAAAACTCAGACAACAGCAAACATACAATCCTCATTTCTGGTGACAGAATAAAAGTGGTAGCACCTTGCCTGTGAAGTCGAGATTCAGGAATAAAATTCCTAATTTCTGACTTCAAGTCCAAGATTCTTTCAGTTCTATTTCTACTCAAGTAGAGATGGAGTGCGATTACCCAAACAACCCCGACTATACAACATTTGAACTAAGAGCTGATGTGATCCATATATAAATACTGACCTGATACTTATAGGATAACTGAAGAATCTAGTTTCTCAGTAAACATTTTTTTAAAATCTGAAATCTAATTCACACACCATAAAATTCACCATTGTAAAGTATACAATTCAGTTGATTTTAGTTTATTCAAAGGGCTATACAACCATCACCACTATCAAACTCCAGACCGTTTTCATTACTCTAAAGACCTTTCACCCCAGCAGATACAGCACACATCCTCTTCCTTCACTTCACTCTCCATTACCACAAAGCTACTTTCAGTCTCTATGAATTTCCCAATTATGGGCAAATCATATAAATGAGATCAAAGTTGTGTCTGGCGTGTACATCAGTACTTCATTACTTGTTATGGTTGAATAATATTCTATTGCATGGATATACCACATTGTGTTAATCCACTGACTAGCCGACATATGTCTGGTTGTTTTCACCCTTTGGCTGTTATGAGCAACGCAGCTATGGACGTCCATGTAAACTGCATACGAACAATGCACACAAACAAGTCTTGGTGTGAAAGTACAATTTCGATTCTCTTGGGTATATTATTTACACACACACACACACACACACTTCTAAAAGTTTCTTTAGATGAGAAATACTACCATTTGTACACAATAATTCAACATGTTCATCAGTGCTCCCATGAGTGCTAAGAATTTGCTCCTTTTCCCTCCTATTTCCTAGGAGTTGGTGAATGACAGGGAAGCCTGGTGAGCTGCAGTCCATGGCGGCACAGAGTCGGACTCGACTGAGCAACTGAACTGAACTTTCTATTTTCTACTGCCCCACCCCATTCCTGGTTTAGAATATTTATTGACAATTTAACAGAAAAGTGTAGCGCTCTGAAAAAGTGACATGAAAACAAACCATAAAAAAAAAAAAAAGCTCAATTTCTACTGCTTCTCTCCAGGGAAAATTAGCTGCATAAGAAAGAACAGCTATAGCATGTTGGGATCTTCCTGCAGAAGAATTTTTAAAATGCAGAGTGGTGTGGGAAAGAAAAAGATTCCCACAACCACATATCTGACTTGAGTCCCTGGGGCAGAAACAGTTTAATTTATTCACAAACTTATAACAAAAACCTGAACAGTATACCAGGCTGGGAAACATTTGTCAATTAAATTAGTTAATACTTCCTTTTCTGCTCTTGGAATTCACCCAACTTTATGAAGTCCACAGTTCCACAGTATCACCTGTGGTAATCAATTATTAGAATCTAAGTAAGTCAGTAAGAAGGTAAGAAGACAGAAAAGTAATACTTCCCTAAAAATGAGTTATAACGAAGGTTTGGGAAAATCGACTGGCAGATGAGTAAGAAACAACCATCACTAGTAGGTGAAGGAAGTGAAGGCAGAATGTTCTCACTGTGGAAGGCATGGGGCCGCTCCACTATCCCCAAACCTTGGGTCATTATTATACAACTAATTTCACAATAACACTATAGAGACCAGTTAGAATTTCAGTACAGAGTCAAACAATAGGCATTCACGATGGCATTCGTAATGAACTACTTGAGCTTGAGCCCACCATACTGCCTCTAGGGAACTCAGAAAACCCCTGAGCCTGAAACAGGAAAATGTTAGCGAATTAAATTAATTCTTCCTAGTCAACATCTAACCTCTGTTTTAGTATCTGCTTTGCCTTGCTTCCACCTCCAGATCTCCTGACTTCTAGCTGGCACTAACAATACTCTAGCTTACCCTTGACCAAACTTCTCCCTGAGGGCCAACATGGTGATGCTTCATAGAACTGAAATTTTGTTGTTAAATAAATGATACCATTGAATGGAAAATCTTTATTGATCCAAGCAGGAAATTTTACATTATATATGTATGTGCATATATTGCTATACATACACACAGACATACACAGGGCTTCCCAGGTGGCTGAGTGGTAAGGAATCTTCCTGCCAAGTAGGAGACAAGTTCGATCCATGAGTTGGGAAGATCCCTTGGAGAAGGACACAGCTACCCACTCCAGCCTGGAAAATCCCATGGACAGAGGAGCCCAGTGGGCTACATTCAACAGGGTTGCAAAGAGGCGGACATGACTCAGTGACTGAGCATACACACACACATTCTGAGGACTTGTACTTAATTGGCGGAGTCAAGTGAGATGAGGTGTGTGTGTGTGTGTGTAGTCACTAGGTCATGTTGCCATTTCTTTCCCCAGGGATCTTCCTGACCCAGGGATTGAACCCACATCTCCTGCATTGGCAGATGGATTCTTTATCACTGTGCCAACTGGGAAGCCCAACATAAAAACATTACTCACACTTAAACATTTTTTTCACTTACTCACACCAACTGGTAAAAGCTTGAAGAAAAGGAGCATGCTGGAGAAAGGCCAAGACAGAGGCCTGTAGGGTAGAAACTGGGGGAAAGCCCACTGGATAGATGACCAAAGGTGAACTAATTTATTTGGAAATATGAATAAGTCTTTCTTTAAAGGAATGACTAACAGTTTCAAGTAAAAAGGGAATTTAGAGATCATTAATCTAACAAACTATGAAGTAGAGAGTAACACTGGGTCATCTATAGATACAGGTGTGAACCTAGAGTCTTCATTGTCATACAGAGTGAATAAGTCAGAAAGAGAAAAACAAATATCATACATTAACGCATATACATGGAATCTAGGAAGATGGTTCAGATGAACCTAAGTGCAGGGCAGAAATGGAGATGCAGATGTAGAGAAGGAACCTGCAGACACATGGGGAAGAAGAGGTGGGATGAGCCGAGAGAAGCAATGACATACACACACCACTATGTGTAAAACAGATAGCCAGTGGGAATCTGCTCTAAAGCACATGGAGCCCAGCTCAGGGCTCTGCGATGACCCAGACAAGTGGGCTGAGGGGTCGAGGGAGGCCCAGGAGGAAGGGGCCAGATGGTGCAGGTACAGCTGATTCACACTGCTACACAGCAGAAACTAATGAACTTTGTAAAGCAATTATAATCCAACAAAACAACCTAAGAACACTCTAATACAGACATACCTTAAATAACAACTCCAATTATAAACAAACATATTTTGTGACTAACATTATTTTTGAAGGAAAATACTTCTAGGAAATAGTGATAGCCAGGGCCTTGAAATATTTAGGATTTATTAGACAGACAGACATACCCACATCCACCACTCCTACCTCTTAAACCAGCCATCACCACATCAGTGGTATATGGTGTAATGACTTCAACATGTAAACAAGTATGAAATGTTAAAAATCTAAATTTAAAAAGATTGGTTTTGGTTTGTTTTTCTATTGGTTTACTAAGTCAGATTCAAATGAAGGTGTACTTTAGGAGCAGAATTAATGTTTTGAAGCAAAACATACAACAAACAAACAAGAAGTGCTATTAAGTTTCAATTTTCCAGAAGAAAAATTAGCTTAACAGCTGGAAAAACGAGTTCGTTTGTTTTTATTTTCAAGCAATCTCATTTAGTTTGAGCTAAGAGGAAAGAAAACAGGAAACACTCTTTCTAGCTATACTGTTCACAAATCAACTTCCTTTGTGTGTGGTGGAAAACAATTACCATTAGAGTTATAAGAAAATATATTTTTAATAAATAGTGAGTTTTCCCAGTTACAGGATTTAAAGAATAGTTAGTTAGCAGTTAAAATTTGTATCCATCAGAAAAATTATTCATTTTTTCCCCTTTTGGTAACTGAGAAAGATCTGTAAGTCACAGAAAAATGAACAGACCAGTAAAGGTCAGTTACTGGTGACTAAGGTATTATTAGATTTTAAAAGTTATAGTATATAACATTATTATGCTATTTTAAGAATTACTTACAAGTACTTGCTTTAGCATTATAAAATTAGTTTGGATTTTTTAAACATAAGTAACTTTAAGTAGTTATATATAAGCTACTAAATTTATAACGTAAATAATACATGTTTGTGGTTTTAAGTCACTACAGTTTGGGATGATGTGTTACACATCAGTGAATAACAAATACAATCATGTTTTCTCTCTCCTATTAAATCATAAACTCCTGAAAGACATTATACAGCTAGTTGTACCACCTTAGCAGACTGTGTTACATATTTAGAAATAAAAAATGAAATCAGCAGTCTACAAGGACTTAAAGCGCTCAGGGTTAACTTCTCCCAAGTTCAACTCTCTGTTCAACTCATTAAAAACACATGTTCCAAGACAGTTGATTCCTTAATCACAACAAAATGTACCAGATTTTACAGGACACATGAAAAGTAACAATAAAAAAATTCCCAAATACTAAGTTTATTGTTTCTCTTTCATCTCATCTAACATAAAATTCTAATTCCCAAACAGAATTAAAGTGGATATGAGATGACACATAAGAGTTTCTGAAAATTTATATAGTTTATTAGCCTTCATAACTTGAGACTTTATGAAGAGTCTCAAACAAGTTCACCTATAAACTCTTTTAAGCTTCAAAGAGTAAAATATATATTTTGTTACAGTCAGGGCTCAGCAATGTAGAATCATTAGAGAAGGAATAATTTAGGAGAGCTGCAATATTCTGAAATCCTAAGAATTTACTCCATAAAACCCCCAAATTTTGTGTAACAATTCTAGGTCATTGTTTTCTTTCTTATATAAATTTAGTAAACAGCTCCTTAAACAAAATAAGACAGTTTTACAATAGAAGTTTTCTGAGACTAATACATACGAATGTGAATAACTCTCCAAGGAAAGGATATAAATGCAACATTCTCTAAACCCACTTGGACATGGAACCCTTTCCCCCTATCCCCCACAAACTCTTGTAGGCTGAGTTATCACATACTTTAGAACAAGGGAATTAAGATGGTGACTTCTTAAATAAAACACAATGAACTAATTAAAAAGAATACTGCTCAGTGACTTCCCTTCAACTCGACCACCACGCCCGGACAGAATTCAGAGCTTCTGTGGTGGCTGAACTCAGCTCTTCTTCGCTCATCCTGGGCTTGAAGACATCAAACTCTTTGCTCATAACTCCATGTCTTTGCTATTGTTGTTTCTTACACCTAGAATCCCTTCCTTTCACCAGTGTTGGTCTTAATTCTACCTTTCCTATGGACACCCTCTGTCAGCTGGTTCTCTTTCCCTTCAACTCCCACGGACCACTGTCTGTGCTTCTCCCACCCCACTTTATACATCACAAACATGTGTCCTTATCCACTATCGTATAAGGGCTCCTCTGCTTTGTAAAATAAGTATTTCTTAAAGGAATTAGTCTTTCTATTTTATCCCTTAGGATCAGCTATAGCTTTTTGCCATTATTAATAGATTCACCTGTGGCAAATCTCCACATTCTAAGTTAGAAATAATGACTTAGTAAATGTATGTATATGTAATATACATATACATATATCAGACTTTCTATAAACATTATGTCACTGAACCTCACAAATGCCCTATGAAGAAGATAATTCCTGATACAAATAAGAAAACAGACCAAAAATAAAGCAACTTGTCTAAGGTTATATGAATAATGTATGCCCGAGAATGCAGCCCAAAGCTAATGTTCATCTAAGACTCAACACTGGTTCAAGAAGGACACTTGATATACACCATAAAGCAAAGCTGGGAGAACCTTGGAGAGAGAGGCCCAGCTGACAGGTGTAGGAGTGGGGAGAGAAGCCCTGCATTTGACACGTCCAGTCTGGGTCATGCCTCTGAGCCAGGCAAGTGAAACTCTACTTGGCGACTGTACAGGAAAGTCCAGAGTCGTGCAGACACGTGTGGGTGAGAGACGGTTTTCTGTGAGGCATCAGCAGTCAAATAAATGGTGGTGACAGCTATGGATTTACAGGAAGGTGCTATGGATTTAGAGGAAGGCCACCATGAAGACCACAGACAGTGAAATAAACGAAAGAGACCCGGGTCAGACATGGGAAACAGCACAGGAAACAGGAAAGGATGAAGCAGAAGTGGACAGAGAGGAGATTAGGTGGGAAGCACCAGAAAGGCGGGAGGAAAGGAGATGAGCGTGACAGAAATCTCGGGAGAGAACTTCAGTGAGCACCAAGGATTCCACCTCCAGGCATGATTAATTAACCAAAATTAACTAGAAGCAAACACTCTCTTTCTCTGATGCACCAGCCCATTTCAACTGCTCACTGCACAGGGGTCAGAACAGAGACATACAGCAGATCCTCAGAAGCACCGTAGAGGGCCCAGCCAGCCCTGCGACAATGCACCCTCTCAGACAGACCCCGTGTGATCCAGCCAGCCTCCCAGACACCTCTGGGAGCACAGCCCACCTGGCTAAACTGTACACCTACCGGTATACCAGCTATCCAGGTCTCTAAAAGATGGATGCTAAGAACATCCTTGTTACTGGGGACAGCAATAGCTTTAAGTACTGTAGACTAACTTTGTGTAATATTCTCCATTAGAAGCTTCACATATCTTTAATCCTTACACAGATTTAGGTTTACCCATGGGAACAAGCATACCCCCCACCCCTCCAGTATCCCCAGGGAACTGGTTCTAAGACCACCCCACCACCATCCACTCCCTGGATACCAAAATCCCCAGATGCTTAAGGCCCTTATGTAAATATGGCCGAGTACTTGCATACAACCTATGCAACCTCCATATGCTTTAAATCAACTCTAGACCACTTATAATAACTGACACAATGCAAATGCTATGTAAATAGTTGCCAGCATGGCAATTTCAAGTTTTGCTTCTTGGAACTTCCTGAAAAAATTTTTTAAAAATATTTTCCACCCATGGTTTACTGAATCCATGGATGTAGAATCCACAGATCTGGAGAGTTGACTATATGTTTTTTAAGAGGTGGGCCAACTGATGCTCAGTAACATCAGGCAGCTTATGCCCATATGGCTAATAAATGTTAGAATCTGGATTCCAGTCTAGGTCTGTCAACCTACAGAACAGAATCGCTGTCCATCACAGAGAAGCCACACTGCAAACAAAGGTTCCATCTAAATAATCATGTCCCTGGATAGATTCTACCTTAATCTATGTTACCGGAATACATACACAGCAAGCACTTAAATTTACTCTTAGACACATTTAAAAATAATAGTTTCAAGTGTAGTTAATTTTTTACTTACCTTCTTGAGCAGCAAATGCTTGACTAGCTGAAATGACTTTTGTTAGTTCTGGATTATATCTTGTTCCCTCCGGAAAAATCACAAGATACATCTGTGAAGACATAAAGAATTGGTTTGTTTTATGTCAGTGTTTCTGTTGTTGCTGTTAACTTACCAATGATAACCCTGTTAATCCTAAGAGTATTTCCCATGGTGGTGAAAAAAAACTCAATTACCTATGACCTTTATTGCAAGCAGAACCAAAACGCACAAATTCAATTAAGTCATGACATAGCATAGACTATATTTGAAATGCAGTCCTACATTTATTCAGATGTCAGTCATTTATAATCTAACAACATTTCTAATTACATGCTAATATTTACTAATTTAAAAGCTTGCCATGAAATGCTGACTCATAGAAAGCCTCAATTCATTAATGAAAGAGGTTCCCCCCACTAAGATTCTATAAAATCACTTTTGAAAAGGTGCAAATTTTAGACATCAGGGTCCCCAAGTACACCTCATCTGATGGAAACCATATATAAATATATAAATCTCCATAATATAAAAGATAATAGGTGTTCATATTTCAAAAGATTCACATAGCAATGTTTATTCAGAAGATGTATTTCTTAGTAACTTTTGGGAAAAAAATCCTGCAGTCTCTCAAATAATGTGCATGCGTGCTAAGTCGTGTCTGACTCTTTGCGACCCCGTGGATTATAGCCCTCCAGGCTCCTTTGTCCATGGGATTCTCCAGGCAAGAACACTGGAGTGGGTTGCCATTTCCTACTCCAGGGAGTCTTCTTGACCCAGGGATTGAACTCATGTCTTTTATGTCTTCTGCACTGGCAAGCAGGTTCTTTACCACTAGCACCAACTGGAAAGCTTTCTCAAATACTACTACTAGTGAATAAGAGCTGATTTAATCATAAATCATTGATTTCAGTGAGGAATATTAAGTCACATGGAAGTTGACTTTATAAATATATTCTACCTTGCCAATTAAGTGATTAACTTTCAGAAACAAAAGAGCCTAATAAAGAGTCTGAGAAATACTTAGCTATTTCGCAGCACTTAAATATTAAACAGTGAGGCGACCACCCAGATCCTATGAATATGGCCTCACCCCAGTGACCTGAGCGACAGGCAGTTGCAGTGCTGCCTCACGAGCCTGGCAGTCCATCACTCAGTGTCACTGCGTGACCACCAAAACAGACTCTTGCCCTTGAAAACCAGAAATGCTCTCCGGGAGCCCAAAGTGAAAGACTAGGTTATTTGAGGGCTTCCGTCGTATCTCAACTGATAAAGAATCCACCTGCAACGCAGGAGACCCTGGTTCAATTCCCGGGTTGGGAAGATTCCCTGGAGAAGGGATAGGCTACCCATTCCAGTATTCTTGGGCTTTCCTGGTGGCTCTTGGTAAAGAATTTGCCTGCAGTGCAGGAGACCTGGGTTCGAGCCCTGGGTTGGGAAGATTCCCTGCAGGAGGGCATGGCAACCCACTCCAGTATTCTTGCCTAGAGAATCCCTAAGGACAGAGGAGCCTGGTGGGTTGCAGGCCATGGGGTTGCAAACAGTCGGATGCAACTGAGCGACTAAACACAGCACACAGCAGATTCTTTGAACTGACTTTCCTACTGAAAACAATTTAGAAAGCTGGATATAACATCATCTTAAGAGCATCCAAGAGCTGACAAGATGTAAGACCAAAACTAAAGCAAACACAGAAAAGCAGAAGCAAGCCCAGAGAAGAATTTAGCTCTAAGAGATACAAAAAGTGAGGGGACAGACATCTAAAGCCACAGATCTTCTGTTAGAAACAGTAAGAGTGAAACAGAAGTGAAGGGAACACCAAAAGGGCCACACTCCTGGGGTAAAAGCAAGGCAGGTAGTCACGCAGGTCTCAGAAGGTCCTGTCTTACTGCACGGCCTGGGTGGTCCAGGGAGCCTCGAGCTCAGGCCTGGGCTCGGGTGGGCCCAGGGGAGAGGCTCCTCCAGGGACCGGACTAAAACAAATGCCAGCGTTCTCTTTCATCTTATGCTCCAGCTGATTTCTGCAAATAATTTTTCCAAATACAATCAACAGCAAACGAAGGTCGCCGAGCACATGGGGAAAGGAGGCACCGTGAGCCAGGGAGGAGAGAGAGGGAGTGGAGAGAGAGGGCAACTGGGGGGAGGAGGAGGCGAGAGGCGATGAGGAAGGAAGAGGGGAGAGAACTTGAACCTGTGAGCTACTTTTCTGAGCACCAGGACAGACAACCACGCAGGGCCCCGGGGAACGAGGCTCAGGGAGGCACTGCTCCCCTGCGGCCCTGTCCTCAGAGGGAGCGGAGAGCCACGGGGAGCAATGAGCATTCTGCAGGGAGAATGCAGAGGCTTCTTCTGTGGGCAACAAGGTTTTACAAACTAATGTCTACATGCAATGTTCTTCATTTGCAGATATTCATACTTTCTCTGACTTTTCAAATAACTCAGTAGATAGAAGAAATCCAAATTGATACTGACAGAAAACAGTAGTTCTTCTAAAACTCCACCCGACGCTGAAGAGGAGTCAGAGGAGTTCCTAAGTAGCTCAAGTGTAAGGTTACAAGGGCAGTTCTGTTTCTAATTATAGGCTAAAGACACCAAATGTTCTCCTTACTCCTCTTTAAGGTCAATATTGACAACCACCTGCAAAGGGTCAAATCACCAGCAGCAACCTTTCTGATGGCCAAAAATAACTGCTTGCCTATATTTAGAAGGTTTTTTGCTGCCTCAAAAACTCTGAATTAGTTATTACACATGGGGTAATATATTTTCAAAACAATTCTTAAATGCTAATTTAATCCTTAAATTACAAATTGAGAGTTGATAAAAAAAATAAAAATGAGAGTAATCTTACTGGAGTTCCTGCGTTGATGTAGCGCTGCAGCTTTTTCCTCATCTGATTTTCATTAAATTTGGCACTTCTTTTTACATAGATTCCTCCATGCTGCCATGAAGAAACAAGGGGGAAAAACATATTTACTATTAAAATGTCCAATGGCCAGTCATCAGAATGGTTAACTTTATTTCCAAAGGGTGAAGAACAAAATTACATTTTAGGAATTAAGTTATATTTAATACATTCAAATGTTAGCCTTTAAATAACATTAGCTGAATTCTGTGTTTTCAATACAATTGAAATAAAACCATGTGTGGCATTTCATAGGAAACTACACAAACATTTAGTTTTGCTGGAAATTAAAAATGCTTTCTTACCTTAAAAACACTTTTTTTTTTCCAAATGAAAAATTCAATCAAATGGATCTTAGCTCTCAGTTATTCCACTGACTTCTTATGTTGAAGCCCTAACTCCTAAATGTGACTATATTTGGAAATGAGGTTTTTAGGAAAATAATTAAGGTTAAATGAGGTCGTAAGAATGGGCCCTGATCCAATAGGAATGGTGCCTTGTAAGAGATTAGGACACAGACAAAGTCACGCAAAGGACAGACACAGAGAGAAGACAGCTACCCGCAAACCAAGCCTCAAGAGAAACCAACCCTGCTGACCCTTTAGTCTTGAACTTCCAGCCTCCAGAAACTGGCAGCAAATAAACTTCTGTTGTTTAAGTCAGAGTGTGGTATTTTATTATGGGAGCCCTAGCGGGCTAATACAAACACCACCATAAAAATTGTTTAGTCACTCAGTTGTGTCCGACTCTTTGTGACCCCATGAACTGTAACTTGTCAGGTTCCTCTGTCCATGGAGTTTCCCAGGCAAGAATACTGGCGTGAGTTGCCATCTCCTTCTCCAAGGGATCTTCTCGACCCAGGGATAGAACCCAAGTCTCCTGCAATGGCAGGTGGATCCTTTACCACTGACCCACCAGGGAGGCCCTCATAAAAATTTAAGATAACCTTAATTAAACCTCATAAGTGAACGTCATTGAAACTTTGCATCAGGTCGGTCTTTTTTTTTTTGCCTTCCTCTACTCTAGCTCAAAAACTCATCTGTAAAATTTGAACAGACTGGCTGAAATTTGATTTTGTCTTACTCAAGAATATGAGTAAAAGGAAATAAAGAGAAGCAAGGAGGGGACAGGATATAGAGGAGGGGAAGGGGGGCCTTAGATTCTGGATGTGGTTCCTTCACACACGAGCTGACTTGCCTGAGAACAGGAAAGAAACTCCAAGTTCTCTAAGAGTGCAGGTGCTTACCCAAAGTAAGTAGCTTGGGTACTACTCACCCAAGTAAGTAAGCAGTAGTTTGGGCACTACTTACCCAAACTAAGAAGACTGATGAGAACAAAGTCATGCTTAACGAACTCTTTAGAATTAGAGCCACAGGATACACATACTGCAATGTGAAACTTCCCCAAGCTTTCAGTGACATTATCTCTCTTCTTCGCACACTATTTCCTACTAATCATTTAATGTGCTTATTAAACTCAGTTTTCATTTAAAAAAATCTGAGTTCTTTCCCAGGTATATGGAAGCTACAGAAGTCAAGACCAGCTATCTTTCCCTTTGGAACTCCCCGATTAGTGATGAAGCAAAATATGTATAATATAATATACATATTATATGTATGTAATAGAGTGTAATATAAGAGAATGAATACGTGTTACAATAAAGCTGGCCAGAATTGAAAGCAGAGTGGAAGAAAGTGTAGAGAGCTCAGGTCAGTCACAGCTGTCACACTTATCTCTAGTTACACTCACAGGACTTAATGAGAAAAAGCTCTCTAGTGCCTTTTTAATTTTTTAACACACAGTAAGGTTCCCAAAACATCTGCGTTTGGCTGGGATGAGGGAGCAAAGAGGATTCTGTTCTATTCCAAAGGTAAACTACACCTGTCAATGTTCACAAGCTGGTGGTTTAGAAATGTTTAATTTCCTGAATATCTATATATTAAAATTAAAGAGGGTGAAAGATGATGACATGGTTGGATGGCATCACCGATTCAATGGACAAGAACTTGGCAAACTCCAGGAGACTGTGAGGGACAGGGAAGCTGGTGTGCGGCAGTACATGGGATTGCAAAGACTCGGACATGACTGAGCGACTAAACAACAACAAAACATTTAAAATACAACACCACCACACATAAAATAAATAAAAAACTTGACTGTTTCCTCATTTGCTTGTAAGTAACTATTTTTGAATAGCATTATTTCTGCTTCATACAGACTGTAAAAAAACAAGTCTGCTTAAAAGAAAATCTTACTTCTGGCATAAAGTTATGCAACCCACTCCAGTATTCTTGCCTGGAGAATCCCATGGATGGATGAGCCTGATAGGCTACAGTCCATGGGGTTGCAGAGTCAGACACAACTGAGTGGTAATACAAAGTCCACTCTTTTTAATTTATTTCCATTTATACATAAACAAAACAGTTTAAAATACTAGTCCTCAAAATATATTTGAATTTTATTTTCCTTTAGAAGGAAATAAGGAAAAGAAAGAGGAAATGGACAGTCAAGACTCTAACCTCCAACACCACAGGAACTCTTATCACGGGACTTGTGGGTAGCATGGACTGTCCAAGGGGTGACCTCCAGATTTCTATCTTTTCAGGGCTTACTATAACTTTAGCCTCTCTTCTTTAATCGAGTATTAAAGTCTTATCATCAAGCATGTCTTCCATACAAATTTCACTCTTATTTAGAAAATTGCAAGTGTATATGTATTAGTCACTCAGTTGTGTCTGACTCATTGCTACCCATGGACTGTAGCCTGCCAGGCTCCTCTGTCCATGGGATTCTCCAGGCAAGAATACTGGAGTCAGTTGCCAGAGCCTCCTCCAGGGGATCTTCCCGACCCAGGGATCAAACTCGTGTCTCTTGTGGCTCCTGCATTGCAGGAGGATTCTTTACTGCTGAGCCAATGGAAAAGCCCCCAGAAAATTGCATAACCATGATTTATTCAGAAAAGGCATAGAAAAATGCTAGTAATCCCCTTCTGAATATTAAAGAACCTGTTGTATAGTTTCATGACCTGATGGTTATTATGTGATTTCAAAGGACTTTTATAAAATAACATATACTGAACATTTATTATGTACCTGACATTTTTCTATATCCTACAGATAATTACTTTTTAATATATTAAGGGTCCATCACATTTTTTACCTTTAAAATTTTTTATATGATTTTTGTAGTTTGCATTTTTTATTTGACAATTTGGATAATCAGACATATATATATAAATACACACCATTAAAAATGCAGAATAAAACCACATTAATTTAGAATGAACTGGTAAACCCATTAAAAATAACCCCCAAAACCTTAAACATCCATACATATATAAAGAAAGCAGCATGGAGAAAAGTTACCTGAGAAAAATAACACCCATACAGCGGGAGCCATTTGAGCCCATCTTTCAGCACGTAGCGCACGTGGCCGAGAGCATTCTGCCTGACAGCCAGGATGTCGGCAATGATCCAGTCAACTGCGAAGACAGAACCCGTCAGTCCTAAGTGATCCCCGCCACAGAAACAGAGCCTCTTCACAAGACTGTTATGAAGACGTGCTTTGAAAATATTACTAATAGAATTTTTAAATTTTTTTAAATCAACCCCAGACATTTGAAAAATACAAATTCTGTGGCTTTTTTCAGGTTTGTTTTTACATTTCTTAAAAGCTTATTTCAGGGATATAATGCAAAAGCCATACAAATCAAAGTAATACAAAATGATGCAGGAACAAAGAATAAGATAAGCTTCTCTAATTCTTAAAGTCTAGAAAACATGAAATGATAGGCAGAGATTGGCTAAATGAAGCTGTCACATTCAAGAAAATATTCCATATATACTAATATGCTCAACAAAAGACAAGGACATTTTATCTTTACCAGTGACTTTCAGGACACAATCATAGGCTATAACAGACAGAATTCAAAACAAAGATGTCTCAAAGTTTACAACTATGCTGGGCACATATGTATTCTTTACATATCAAAGGACAAGTAGCCAAGCTGCTAAAAACTCTAGTTATGTAGATATATTACTAAAAGGTAAATAAAAACAAAAATAAGAAGGCAGCAGTTAAAAAAAAAAAAGCATCAGTGAGCTGGTAACACCAAACCCAAAAAACTTGTAGGAAGAGAGAAGCTGTTAATTGATCTTTCCAGCAGAACAAATTCTGAACAGAGGAACGAACCCTTCCTTGCCAAAGCAAAGAAACAGGGGCCAGCAAAGGATGCAGAAGATGTCAAACAGAGGAGATGGTTTAAAGAAATTAAAAGAAAATGAAATGAAGTTAAGACAGCAAACGGTAAAGTCTTGAAGACCAGAGAAATGTGATTTGAAAACAAATGGCTGCAAACTACTCTATTCCTTCATAAGAATGAAAATGATAAAAAAGAAATGTGAGGGAGGCTGTTCTAGCGTCTACAGATGAATTGGAAGATAGGGATACTTGAAAAAAACATTGATAAGAATCTGAAAGGATTCAGTCACAGGATTACAGCTGTGTTCAGGGTCAGGTGAATGAGAAAAAAGGAATAGATTCTTGGAGGAATATGGTTTTGTTAGGTAGGAAGGTACGCATGAGCCATGAAGGGTGGCCTAGTCAAAAAGGATGCAAGCTGATCTCTAAAGCCCACTCCAGACACAACCAAGAGAGCTCACAGAGAGTTTTCCAACTCCTGAACATGCACCCTGGGCACACAGGGATACAAACTAACCACAGGGGCTTCCTCAAGGAACCTGAGAAAGCTAGGAGCCCACTAAGGGCTCATAAATATTCTATATATAAATACACCTGATTGTAACAGACTGAATTATGGGAAGACATGCACAACAGGCCCTGTTGCTCCGTAACTTGCAACTGTCAACCGGCCTTGAGTGTATGCCCATTTGCATTCCCTTTCTTAATGGGTGGCCGGAAAGCCCTCTTTTGCACAGGATACAGCCAACAGGAGGAGATGGGAAGTATAAAAAGGGGGCGGAGTCAAGAGGGACCCTTATGATCAAGTTTCAACCAAAAAGGACAGTTTTCCCGAGGATTACGGGAGGATGAGCTCTCAGCTGTGTGGACTCCTTCAGGCCCCGCACCGTGCTGGACGGAACACGCCACACAAGACTCAGCCGGTTCAAACACTGAAATGTCCTTCTGGAGAGGTGTTTTATCAACTAGTATAAATCTTCCTTGTCTGAATATTTCATCATTTAACTCTTTCTTGATTTCAGAGGTACAACTAATACATCTCTAATTTCTGTCACGGCTCCCTTTAAACAGAGGGAAGCAAAGATGTCGCCAACAGTAAACGAACTATCCCCTGTGTCTGTCAGGCAGCGACACCTACTCTATTGACATCAATTATCACTTTTCTCCAAAGCATGTACCTTCCCTTAGAAGTCATCTCCCTACCCCCCTCCCCTCTAATTCAAATTAAACAGGCACTGATAAACACATTTCTTCCTAACCATGTCACAGAAACTAAATAATTAAATTTGTTAAAACTATACCTAATGTAAAAGTAGAGATTCAGAATAAATGGAGAACGTAGTGTATTGTTTACAGGCTACAGAATATTCTGAAACAAATTTTGGTACAAGGCTAAGAACAAGATTTGGTATCTTTTCCGGGGACAAACATTTTTTAAAATTTGGAGGAATTTGAAAATTCTTTTTTATATTAAACACATATGGCTATACTATGGCCTAGATACACCTTCCAGTAACTTGAAGGAGAAAGTGTCAAATTTACAAAATATGTCATGTTTGTAATGAACTTGCCTGGGCTATGCCCTTATACTTTTGAAATATTTAGCGAAAAAGTTTAAGAACTAACATAAGTAGTCAAAGGGTTTCCCTGATAGTTGGCAAAGAACTGCCTGCAATGCAGGAGACCCTGGTTTGATTCCTGGGTCAGGAAGATCCACTGGAGAAGGGATAGGCTATCCACTCCCATGTTCTTGGGCTTCCCTTGTGGTTTAGCTGGTAGAGAATCGCCTGCAACGTGGAAGACCTGGGTTGGAGACCTGGGTTCGATCCCTGGGTTGGGAAGATCCCCTAGAGAAGGGAAAAGCTACCCACTCCAGTGTTCTGGCCTGGCGAATTCCATGGACTATACATTCCATGGAGTCGCAAAGAGTCAGACACGACTGTGTGACTTTCATTGAAGTAGTCAAAACACACGTGCTGGGTGCCTCCAATTTTTTCAACTCAATTATCTTTTTAAATTGTTTAAAATTCTCAACTAGGTTTCAGATAGAAGACACCAGCTGAGTTACTGATGGCTGGGATAATACCTTCTTAACTGGCCACCTGATGCAAAGAGCTGACTCATTTGAAAAGATCCTGATGCTGGGAAAGACTGAGGGCAGGAGGAGAAGGGGACGACAGAGGATGAGATGGCTGGATGGCATCACTGACTCAATGGACATGAATTTGGGTAAACTCCGGGAGCTGGTGATGGACAGGGAGGACTGGCGTGCTGCGGTTCATGGGGTCGCAAAGAGTCGGACACGACTGAGCAACAGAACTGAACTGAATAACTATTCAGATTTTGTGCTCTGGCATGAATAACTTAATTAAGAGATGAAGAAATGCAGCTGTGTAAAAATTCTTCCATGGTGATCCAGCTCAAGCAGTGCCATAGTTTATATTATTAACTTGGAAGAGAGGAGGGAAGGGCAGAGGAGAGGCAGCAAGAGAAGCGAGGCTCTTCTCAACTGTGTGACTAGGGAACAAGAGTTTCCAATTCTTAAGGGCACCGTGTTGGCTGAAAGGAGCCCTGCATGTGAGGTACTCGCCTATCATGGATGCAATGTGACCTGGAGATTAGCTGTCATCAACACCATCACTCCTACTGTTGGCTGCCCTTGAGCCAGACTCTGTGAGGTTAGAGCCAGGTTACGGAAACTGCCTACAAGCCCTGACCAGTAGACATGACTCAGAGAGGCTCAGAGAGGCTAGGCCATCGGCCCACAGACACACAGCAAGGAAGTCAAGTACAACAGCATACCAACTGGGGTCTGGCTCCACAGCCCAGGCCTTTTAATCAAAGGCCACCATTCACGCTGTTAGTTAAGGCAAATGTCACCCAGACCAAGGAAAGGGAACGTTCCATGAGATTAAAAACGTCCAGACTGTTCAAAGCAGAGAGTTAAGGAAGGCGTGGGGAAAGGAACAGTGGCCACCGCAGTCCTGCTGACTCTGGAGAAAAGTCAGTCAACAGAGACCGAGAACACAGAGTCGGCAAGGGCTCACTGCAAGTGAAAACAAGGGAGCAGAGGGACAAATTCAGATGCCAGTTCTCAGCCAGCCAGGCCAAGAAAAGCCTCTTGCGTTCTGGCAGGCCTTGGAGAGCATGAGCTGGGAAGTCTAAACTCAACAGCAGTCTTTGAAATGTTCTTTCTGCCACTGACATTTTCAGTTTATTCGATGGTGGTTTTCAGGGTCTCAAAAGGGTTTCATAAAGGGCACCCAGACACAACAGGCCAGGGCCCATGTCCCTGGGTAAACGAGGGGCCTGCAGAACCTCAGACTGCAGGCAGAATTTTATGCGCCCATATTCTAACTGAAGCCTGCAATTCTAAAGTAATTTAAAATCTCTGTCTAGTTATGTTCCTAAGCTACGGGTTTTTTATTTATGGTCATGCCACCGGCTTATAGGATCTTAGCTCTCCAACCAAGGCTTGAACCCCGGCTCTCGCTGTGAAAGCGCAGCGTCCTAACCATGGGACTGTCGGGGGATTCCCTGGATTTTTTAAAGGACTCAAAAAGCAACCCTCCCCGCTCCTAATGGCTGACTGGCGTGGGGCCGGCACCCAGGTCGGGTGAGGGTGTAGATGGCCGGGTTCATGTGCAGCTTTCTCCCATCAGCTGGGGCTGACTGTGGACCTCACACTTCCCGTTCTACCCTTGCAGTCCCAAACATTGAAGAGTTTTGAAAAATCTGTATTCCTCCAAATGTTTCCCCAAAGTCCACACTCGGGAGTAAGGGATATAAAGGCCAGCACACAGCAAGCACACCCAGGAGAGCAGTGGCCTCGGGAAATGTCCAGAGTCCTTACTCTACAGGTTTGTCCGGGGCCCACGGCTCTGTCCCTAGAACACTCTTTCCATTGAAGCCCGCAAAAAGGCAAGTTGGCAGGGAACCTAAACAAGGAATTTTAAGAGAGACCTTTTAAATAGAAAGCTAGCTCTAAGTGAAATTAACCAGGGGCTCCATATAAAGAAAAATGGGTTAAATGAACCACTCCCTGTCCTAGAACCAGAAATCCTTTTTATCTGGATCTTGGAAACTTGGTAAAGATTGGCCATCGCTAGCAGGACCAGAATAGCAAGACTGTGTCACTAATAAAAAGCTCGATAAGACTGGAGAAAGCGTGAAAATAAAGGAGGAGGTCAGGCTGCTTTATGGACCAGAGTTAGAAACAGACTCTGACCATATCCTAAAGTCAGATGTAATTAAGTCAAACAGTCTTAACAGTTAGGGTAATAAGATTCAGTTCAGTTCAGTTCAGTTCAGTCCTTCAGTCGTGTCCAACTCTTTGCGACCCCATGAATCGCAGCACACCAGGCCCCCCTGTCCATCACCAACTCCCGGAGTTTACTCAAACTCATGCCCATTGAGTCGATGATACAGGGAAATACAAATACAAATACATCAAATTCCTATTCACTCTTTGTAACATCAACTCTTGACCTAGAAAACTGACTGTTACTACTAATAAGCTAAGTTGAGAAAGAGGCATTTCTCCTTCATAACTGTTCTGAAGGTACAGGTAGTGATAACAGTAACTGAAGACACACAGCTGACAGGAGAAGATAAAGGACAGCCACAGGCATCAGTGATTTCCCAGTGAGGTGTTGCCATTTATTAGTCTGTTTTTAGTCTTGAACTTTTGCTTACTACATTTTTTTTACTACATTTTTAAAAGTAATAAAAATGGAATTTAGGAAGTGTGCATCAAGAGCAGTTACAGCTTTGAAAAAATAATGAAGTCGGATGTCTTTTTGATTGAAGTATTTGGAGAACTAACAAGTACCTGAATTTCTTAGTTTGGATACTGTAGCAAAGTTATATAAGATGCCACCTTTGGGAGAAACTTGGTGATGGAGTCACAGGAGAATATGTACTATTTTTGCAAATCCTTGTGAATCTACAATTATTTCAATATAAAAAGCTTTTTAATTTTTTTCTTTAAAGCACCTTGACCTAATTTAAAGTACACACTGCTATACTGGAGACCAGAGTCTTCGGTGATTCTTCTGATAGAAAAGGCTATAATTAAACCAAAACATTTGAAGAAGCAAAGGGAAGTGCGGACATCAGAAAATAATACTGTGTTTAGTAATAAATACAAATTGGTACAACCTTTCTGTAGCTTAACAATAAAAAAATCTAAAATGTTCATACAGTATGATCCACAAATTTCACTTCCAAAAACAAAACTTAAAAAGAAGGAATACATGAGTCTTTAAAGCGATAGTCAAAGAAAGAGAAAAAAGAAAATGGCTTATATACACCCAGCAGAGGGATAAGGAAAACACATAGCTTTCACAGTCTTATTTTTCCAAAACAGTAAAATCACAAAAATACAAGGTCACATATAATATCTGCATTGAAAATTCAAGTTTCAACAAAAAAATCCATTTAAATATATCAGAACATTACTTTGAATTACTTCTCTACTGTGTGTGGAGAGACCCAAGTTTCATGCAAATGAAATACAAACCTGTGCTTTGATGATTTGCTAAATATATTACATTTTCTTTATTTTTTGGCAAATCTCCATATAGCAATATCTAAAAGATAAAATAAAGAGAAACATTATGTTGATATTTTAAAACATGAACTGCAGTCACATACAAAATATGACAATGTCAAAACACTGACAAAAACATGATGTCATGAATATGTCATCCACGATTAACAACTATTCGACTTCTCTTAGGAGCCTTAGAGACCATCAACAACAGCATATGACTAGAAAGAAGCTGAGCACAGGGCAGGTTAATGGTCATTAAGAGAAACAATGATCAGTCATCCTCCGGAATTTTTACTGATTTCTCACAATATCTGAAACCCTGTTCATAAGGTACATCGTCCTTCAAAGAGCCTACAGGGGGAGACACAGGCTTGCACACAGCAACTGTGATGAAACATAATGCAAATATTATGAAAACACAGTCTATTTTAAAGACCTGTCAACCGCAGAGCTGCAATAGCATTTGTTAGGTGTGATAACAGTATGGGAGATGATGAAGGGATGACCATGAAGAGGGGAATGAAGGGATGGAGTGGCAGTGTCTGGGGCCAGCATGGGTGTGCCTGGCAGGGTCTGGTCACAGCCAGGCTGCACGCAGTCAGGGAGCTGGCGCAAGCGGACCGGAGGGAGAGCTCAGCCAGAACGCAGTGTCCTCTGAAAGCCAAGCTAAAGACGAAAACTTTATCCGGGAAGTAATGGGAGAACTTGGATCCTGACTGGGACTCTATTATGCCTCCATACAGAACTCCCTAGATGAAGTCCAAGTGATCCCTAGGAAGGGGGGCTGCAAGAGGGGGAGGGGGTACAAGCAGGCTCCAACTCCAGCTTCCATGTTGTATGTCTTTAAGTGGGTGGTGGGAGCGCAGGGGCTCCTTACAGGAGTCTTTCTGTAGTTTTGCATGTCTGAAATACTTCACAGTAAATCATTTAAAGAAATTGGGAGTATATTTTTAAAGGCTTCAAAGGAAATGACTCCTAACAGTGTAATTTTTTTATTCAGGGCATTTGTTTCCATATCTTGCCATCATGGATTATTCAAGAATATGAATTAGCTACAGATCTATCTTTTTCCTGATGCTAGGGAAAACTGAAGTCAAAAGGAGAAGGGATGAGATGGTTAGATAGCATCAGCCACCCAGTGGACAAATGAATTGGAGCAAACTCCAGGAGAGTTCAGAGGACAGGGAGCCTGGTGTGCTGCAGTCCATGGGGTCACAAAGACATGACTTACAACAACAACTGAACAACAACTATCTTTTTAGATAGGCAGAGATTGTCTTTTGAATACAACACTACTCATTAATATCTTAACAACAGAACAAACAAAAGGACGCTATTATCTCTGTAGATAAATATAACTAGATGACAAAGTTCTGGAGACCAGGGCCTCAGAATGAGATTTCTATTATCTTCCTCAGAAAACTATACAGTGCTATGTGGGTCAGTCAGTCAGTTCAGTCGCTCAGTCGCGTCCGACTCTTTGCGACCCCATGAATCGCAGCATGCCAGGCCTCCCTGTCCATCACCAACTCCCGGAGTTCACTCAAACTCATGTCCATTGAGTCGGTGATGCCATCCAAGCATCTCATCCTCTCTCGTCCCCTTCTCCTGCCTTCAGTTTATGTGGGTAATATGTGTTTAAATATTTTATCAGTAATTTTTTAATATAAACATCCCCTCTTGAGCCTCACTCCCCCACCCCCACCATCCGACCCCTCTAGGTCATCACAGAGCACCGAGCTACTTGCTGAATAATTTTTTATTAATAAAGTCTATCAAGACCAAAACAAAAAAACCAAAATCAGTGACTTGATCCATGCAAGGTTAAAAAGTGGAGTCCTAGTTTCTGAGCGATCTACCCTCTCAGCAATGAGCCAGAGTTGCTTTGGGAACTCTAGGTAGGACTCACTGGGTTCAAAGCACTGTGACCAAGAACTTCTGGCTTGACTTCCTTGGACAGGATACTCACAATGACAAGCTGTGGTTTAATTGATTCAATCTGAAAACCACTCTTTGGAGACCTGCCTGCCCTCAGGCTGAAGGCAGTACTTGAGCCACCCAGGGACTCTCCTTCCCTTTCACTTCATTACGAGACTACAGCCTTTGAAGGCAGCTGACAAACAAGTTATTAAAAGGATTTCTTTTTCTTAGTTTGATTGTGGTAGTCATTTCATAATGCATACCTATGCCAAAACATCACAATGAATAACATGAATAGGTAGAATTTTTATGTGTCAAAAACAAACTTAAAAATTTAAATAATGGGTATTCACAGCATGATAGTTATCAATCATACAGAAAACACAGCACTGCGAACTTTATTTCCTATACAACTAAATATATTCCACTTTAAAATAAAACAAGCGTGGTGAGGTGAAAAGAAAACCATAAACATAACACAGTCATCTAATCTCATGACAAACAGTCTCCAGCAGTGAAACTGGTCAATACACTCACCGGCAGCAGACTAACATTTGACCATCACCTGGTCCAGCGCCAGTCTCACACGTCAGCAGGCCTAGCACAGAACCACCACACTGCCTTGATCGGTGACCCGTGATGAGTCAACAGCACCACTTAAGAAGATCCCACACCATCACTACTTGGGGTGAGTCCACATACTATATACCACATTGGCCTTAAAACATCAGGTTCCTACTTTTGTTTACAGACACAACCATGAACCAAAAAGCTTTGCAGGAAAGCCACCTCTGCTTTCCCTGAGCCTCACTAATTTCCCCCATCCTTAAACGGCTTCCAAACAACTGACATTTTCAAAATGTAGTTTGACTATCTCAATAACAAAGTTCAACAGGCCCAGTGCTTAAAAACAGACCTCAGTGGTATCTAGAAAAAGTAAGACAAGTAACGAATTCTGGTGGGCAAAACAGATGGGCAAAATGTGAAAGGAACAAAATCTTAATTCATAGCCACTAAAGGGAAAATAAATGCATAGTTCATACTTTTAAAGATTATTCTTCAATATGCATCTCACTGAAATAAAAGCTATTTCCAATTGAGATGCAAAAGAAGATGGTAAGCCTCTGACATGAATTAGGATCTCAAAGCAGGTATTTGGATTCAATGCCTTTAAGGTTTTTTTTTTTTAATTTGTCACTATAATTTGGAATTCAACAGAAATGAAAGTTACAAAGAATTGCCCTTAATATTTGAAAATTTAAAAGCTCTAAAAGCAAAGTAAGTGAAATGATGAACTGCAAACCTTACTGCAATAGAGGCAGCCCTTGATTACTAAGTACTTCAAGTAAATATTGATTAGCCAAAGAAAGAAATACATGAGTGTAATGTTTATGTACCAAACATATGGGCATATGTACGAAAGACTCTTGAGAGTCCCTTTGACTGCAAGGAGATCAAACCAGTCAATTCTAAAGGAAATCAACATTGAATATTCATTATAAGGACTGATGGTGAAGCTCCAATACTTTGGCCACCTAGAGTGACGGGAGCTGACACTTGAAAACACCCTGATGCTGGGAAAGATTGAAGGCAAGAGGAGAAGAGGGCAGCAGAGGATGAGATAGATAGACAGCATCACCAACTCAATGAACATGAATTTGAGCAAACTCTGGGAGATAGTGAAGGACAGGGAAGCCTGGCATTCTGTAGCCCATGGCGTCACAGCACTTACAAAATACCCATACATTTACATTGTTAAATGACTCTATGATTAATTAAAAGCCACCTGCACTCTCTCATTGCAGTCATCTTAGATCAGCTTTTCACAACATTTATTCACCTCCTCACAGAAGCCCTCCTGCCTCCTAATAAGCTGGACCCCAAGATTCATCACTTCCCCTTTTGCATCACAGTAAACCCTGTCTCCCTGTGTACCCCTATTTCTGCTCACATCACATTCCCCTTGAGACCCACAAGCTCCTCGGGGGCAGGGACCTCACCCCTGTTCTGCCCAGAGCCCAGCACCCAGGTGCTTTTCAACAGATGTTCACTGAATCAACAGGCTGCATCTGTATTTCTCACAAGTGGATAAAGCTACGCCTCACTTTCAGCAGTAAGGGGTTGGGGTAGAAACAAATACTTTAAATGCACCAGTGACTTATTTAAGGCATCATTCTGTGAGTCTTCTGGTACATGTATTTCAAATTACAATCACTTCACTGGCAGGTAATTTGTTCCTTCAAACAAGGCACATGAAAAACATGGCTTTTTTGGTTCTTCCTAAGTTTCTGAATAATTTTAGGTTCATCACAATTGTTCAATTTGGGGTTCATCAATATTTTAAAAACTCATGTAAAATCCCTCTAAAGAAAAATAACAATGTTCTCTTTTAATTTTATTAACTTAACAGACAATAAAAATGCTCTTTGATTATCTTCATTGTGACTGAAACACACTAGTTACAGCTCTGCTCCAATCAAACAAGCTCGTTTAGGTTGCACAAAGAAAGCTTTCAGCAGACCTGGTTTAGGCAATACTGTTCTCTCACCTGGATCTCACCTTTACCTTTCTTTTGGTTTGTTCCCATGATTTGTAAACTACTTGAAGACTACCTCATTTGTATCCTGAAAAGGGATGGCAGAATGGAATCTAAAGTAATCACGTTTCTCACACAGTGGAATATCCACCCAACAATGCCTTGGGGACATAAAACACAGCATACTTTCTCTTCAAAAAACAAACAAAATTCTTCATTTATCTCAATATTAAAAAGCAGAGACACTACTAGCCAACAAAGGTCCATACAGTCAAAGCTATGGTTTTTTCCAGTAGTCATGTATGGATGTGACAGTTGTACTATAAAGAAAGCTGAGCACTGAAGAATTGATGCTTTTGAACTGTGGTGTTGGAGAAGACTCTTGAGAGTCCCTTGGACTGCAAAGAGATCCGACCAGTCCATCCTAAAGGACATCAGTCCTAACTGTTCATTGGAAGGACTGACGCTGAAGCTCCAATACGTTGGCCACGTGATGGGAAGAACTGATTCACTGGAAAAGACCCTGATGCTGGGAAAGATTGAAGGCAGAGAAGAAGAGGGCAACAGAGGATGAGATGGTT